GCCACCATGGTGGGAGTGCTGCCCCTCACGCTCAGGGCCTGGCTTGCACTGTTCAAAAATTACTTCAGCAGATGGCAAACTACTGCCTGTTTTGGACTTTCAAGATTGCCTTTGGCCGGCCCACATTGCCACTGCAATGAGTGCCACGGGTGTGAGGCATGAAAAGGGTCTCTTCATAGGCTGTTCCCCTCACCAGCCAGTTCTCAGTCACCCAGTGGGCATCTCCGGAGCCCTCCCTCGTGCCAGGCCCTGGCTCACCGCTGGCTCCCTGGGGGCCGGGGCACCCTTGCGCTGCACTGTGCAGGTCTGGCTCTGAGCTGGCCCTCGACCCCAGGGCCCCAAGCGTCTTTGGGACTTGTGAGAGCATGCTGGGGAAAGTTCTAGGCCATGTGGTTTGGAAAGCGGTGGGGCTAGGTAAGCATGAAAGCCTGTATGAGATTTACTGTAGGCAACTCAAGATCTTAGGAAGGAAAATAGGTGGCTGGAAATCAAGTGGAAAAAAATAAAACCTTCCCAAGGCTTTGCAGTCAGCCCCGGTAAACAAAACTCAAAAGGCCAGCTTTGCTACTGTTCTTCTGGCCTCTGAGGGTGAAGTGGCCAGGCTGTGCCAGGCTGCGTTCGCGTCTGCCCTTGGCTCCCTCACCCTGGCTCCCCCCAGAGCTGGGAACAGCCGATGGACAAGAGGCACTGACTTGGGCACAAGGCCTGCCCCTGGGCCTCAGGCAGGCGTCTGAGAGCCCTCACTTGGAGGGAGGGATGGCCATGCCCTCAGACACACATACACTCACACAACCAAGTCACCTTCACATAATCTCCAACATCCCCACCAACAGCCACATAATCTCACACCCAGCCCTGCCACTTCACGGATCCCTCACCCACGCACACACCAACACGAGTGCACACGGACATGCTATACTTGTGAAGAGCCGGGGGACTCCCAGCCCCCTACTCAGCTTCTCCCTGGCCACTGCACAGCACATGATCTGAGAAACGGCTCTCTCCGGGCCACCAGGACATGTTTTCAACTGCCCAAAGTAGTAACAGATCACCCTGACACGGCATCAAAGGGTTTGGTGAGGCTGAATCTGAACTCCAGAGCAGGAAGGCCCTCGGGGATCGTCTGGTCCTACAGCTGGTAAGCTGTGTATGCAGAGCTGGGGCTTCTCCAAACAGGGGTCTCCTGGGGCCAGGCTGGGAGATGGGGAGGGGCATGCAGGGGTCTCTGCCTCCCCCCTCCCCCGACTCTAATCCTGCTGCATCTGCTTTTTATAGTTTGTTTGGAAAAAGGTCAGATTTCAGGTTCGCTACAGGAAGAGTTTAAGAAGCACTGGTTTGCCTCCCCCCTGTTAGAGGTAAAGGGCAGAAGGTGCAGGCTGGGTCAGCTATAAGCATGTTGGCAGCAGAGCAGAGATGGGGACCCAGGCATCCTGAAGCTACAGCTCAGCCAATGAGTGGGATGCTTTCGTGTGAATTGTCACCCACTGGGCTGCCCTAGACGAGCCTATCAGCTCAGCCTGACAAATGGAGCCTGTGCTGGATGGCATCTGCCCCATGTGCCCTTTGCAAGCTGCCGGCCCCTGCTGCAGGCCAGGGTGAAGTGGGTTTTCACCATCCCAGGACTGTCGTCACTGCCAAGGAAATCACAGCAAGTCTGCGGCCAGGTCTGGCATCTGTCCTGAGAACGGAGACCAGAGGCTCTGGGAAGCATCTCTGGAGTGTGCGAAGGGCACGGAGGAGGCGTGGGCCATTCTGGGAGCTCCCCTTCTAAGGCCAGAGAACAGCTCCTTCAGAGGAGCCCTGGAAATGCCAGGAAGGCTAAGGTGTTATTGTAAATAATGTCAGCGTGAGTCTCTCACAGGATCCAGGCACCATTTCGACAGGCCACTCTCCTGCTCACCATTGGTCTGTCTCTCCCCTCACGCCGCCACCCCTTCCAGGGAGTCCCCCCAGACCACAGGCAGGAGTGACCGGCTCCACTCCATGTCACCAGCAGGCCTGTGCCCAAAGCCTGCCCCATTCCCCACCCGAAGCCCTCAGTCTGTCTAGAAGTGGTTTTGAACTTGAACAAATAAGACAGAGGTAAGGGTCTTTCTCAAGCACAGCTTTGGGTGGCGTACTCCCAGGGCAGGCTCCCACCTCCCCTTCTCTTGCCCCCCGAGCAACAGCACAGAGCATCCAGGGAGCCCCCCGGGCCACTGAGGACGTGCCTGCCGGGGTGAGCACCACCACCTGTGGACCCATCTCCACTTGCAGGACATCCCCGTGGTCATGTCTCCACCACCAGGCACCAAGCCAAGACTGACGGCAAGACACGACAGGATGGGACACAAGACGCCTCTGAGCACAGCTGTGACAGGGTCAGACGAGCAGTGGCCATCACCTAAGGCTTGCTACCTACCAGGAGCCGAGCCAAGCACTCGACCTATAAATCTTCATTTGATCTTGTAAAGCAGGAATTATCATCCCCCTTTCCCAGAGTGAGAAACTCAGACTCAAAAGAGTAGAGACTCAGGCCTGAAACCAAGCGGCAAACCCAAAGAGCCTGGTCTGGGGCCCTGCTGTCTGGGCTGAGCTGTGTGAGCCTGGGGCCAGGCTTGTTTCTTCATCTGAAAGACGGGGAGGCTGATAGGAATCACAGTGCCACCTAACAGGGCTGTAAGGGGATGAAGCAAGTTTCCGGTGTAAAATGTTGCAGCATAGGATCGGGTACACAGGAAGGTTACTAGGTGTTGCTTACTCTCGTTCCTACTGCTGATAAGAGGGTCCTCTATGTTGCCTTCTTAGAAGGAAAGGGGAGGCCCAGGAGTAAGACAAGCCCAACCAGTGTTCTGCTGGGTCCAGTGCTAAAGCATCCTGGAAGGCAGGGGACAGGCCGGCCAAAGTTGCCCCTGGGGGCTCCGACACCATCAGCCTCCGGGACCCAGGAATGTCCTCAGGAGCCCTAAGTGGGAGGGAGATCATCTTTATACAATTTCACTCCTCTGTCTTGAGAACAAGGGGAAGGAGGTGACTCCAGCCAGATCTTGTGGGTCTGTGTGCCTGTGTCTGCGTGTGTGTCTGTCTGTCTGTCTGTACATCTGTGTGTGTGTGTGTGTGTGTGTCTGTCTTCGTGTGCATGTGTGTGTCTGCGTGTCTGTGTGTATCTCTGTGTCTCTGTGTGTGTGGATGCATATGCCTGGGTCTATGTCAGTGTGTGCGGGTATGTGTATCTGCATATCTGTGTACGTAGTACCTGCGTATCTGTGTGTCTGTCTGTGTCTGTGAATCTGTGTGTATGTGTGTCTGCATGTCTGCGTGTGTGTGGTGAGGGGAGGACTGTGGCCTATTAGCATGAGGCTGTGCAGGTCCAGCAGGGCAGCCTTCCCCCCTACCTCCAGATGCCCCGCAGGTGCCACAGCCTGGGCAGGGACTGACCCCTGCCTGGCTTGGTTGGATGGGGCAGGGAAGGGGCAGAAGCAGCCCAAGTCCTCCAGCTCGGGACAACGAGAAGAGTAGCCTGGACATGGGGCTCTGAAGGCCCCTGCAGATGGAGAGGGCCACCAGAGCTGCTCCCTACAGGGGTGCACATGTAAACAGCTCCCAGGCCGGTGAGCAGGTCCTGCAGGAGCTGCCCCGGTGACCACCAGAGCAGAGACACTCTGATCAGAGTCCTAGACCTCCAGAGCCAGTGGTCCTCTGTACAGATGGGGAAACTGAGGCCCAAGAGATCACACAGCCAGATGTCACCAAGCCTGGCCCTTCTGACAGCCTAGCTTCCCCTCCGTGAGCTCCAGGGTCTCACCCACACACCCAGACACCCTCACCCAACCTGGGCAGCCAGGGATTAGCAAACCCAGGCCTGGGGAGAAGGCGGTGCGGCTTATGGTCTCCATGCACGTGAGCTCCGGCCAGGAATGAATCATATCAATCCTTCTAATCATGGCAGGATTAGAAGAAAAATGCCATTAGAAGATCTATGCATGCACCACATTTAATAAGGTCAGCAGCAGCAAGCAGCAAGCAGGCTGGCGGCACGAGGCCACAGAGCCCCCGCGCCCTCCTCCCACCCAAGCCAGAGCCCGCAGGGAATGGGACAGGCCCTGGCCAGGCCCAGCCACGGGGAGCAAGTGTCTCCTTCTGCCAGGGCCTCCCCAGCCTGGGCACCACATAGCTATTCTTTCTGCCTCCCCACTCCTCAGGGCCCACCTGCTTGGGGTTGTTCCCAAATCAGCCCCTGCCAGCAAGCATCCCCTAAAGTGAAAATTCATTCCCCAGGTCCCCCATGCCCTCTGGAGTCTGCTCTCTACTTGGAAAAGGAAGCAGTAATCAATTGTACTTTACGAAACTGTTAACGTACTGTTAATCTGCTACCCTCCCTGGTGACATAATGCCCAGGTGACAAATATGGATAAGAGGCCTAGAAAGCTCGTGGAGGGAGGATGAGCGTGATGGAGAAAGTGCGGCTCTCAGGCAGCTCGGGAGGCTGCATTTGATAAGGCTGCATGGAATTGAAGTCCTCTTGCTTCCAAGGCCCCTGGGCACCCGCCCACCAGTGTCCTCAGGGCTGGCCCTGGACACAAACCTTGCAGCTTTCCAACTGCCCTGGCCTACAGTGAAGCCCCCCCTTCCTGAGCTTGTGGGGGCCCTCAGTCATCTCCCAGGCCTCTGCCTCAACTGCCCATCCCCACACATGTCCCAAGGGCGTCCACACGTGTGCTTAAGTATGCACACACTGCCGTTCCACCAGGGCCCCAGGGGGACCGTAAGCTCTGTGGGCAAGGGTGTCTCTCCAGTCAGCCCCAGCGTACATGGGGAGATTGACAAGGTAGCTCTGAACACACACGTAACTGCTCTCCCCCCACCACTGACCATCCCCCACTCCACTACTTCCTTCACCCTCTCAACCACGCTCACTACACGCCCACTATGCACCAAGCGGGGCCCTGGGCTCGGGTCGGGGGCAGCAGTGAACCAGACAGACAAGCCCAGCCCAGGAGTTGAGGGAGGAAGAGACTCACAGCTCTGTGGACCTGGACAGGATGGCAGACAGCGTGAGCAGGATGCATCCGTAGGGACCCGCTTCGAACTGGGAAGAAGAGAAAGCAATGAGCACCCACCAGGTCTGCACTCCCTTTCCTCTCACCTCCTTGGGGAGTGGTGGGGGTCGGGGCACACCCAGGGAGTAGCCTGACCCTGAGCCAGCTGCCGCCAGCCCGGTCCCAGAGGTTGCCAGGGGGCTCCACGACAGGGCCCCTAAGTGCTGGGAAGCACACCAGCCTGGGTGACAACAAGAGCGGACACACTGCCCACTAAGGAGCACACCCATGACGTCCGAGTCCTGGAAGCTTCCATACAGCAGCGGGGCAGCCTCCCTCACCGTGCAGGCGTCTTATGTGCCTCATCACACTGAAAACTGCCACCGGCCTGTGTGACAGTACTGTTAATCCTGCCCTCTGCCACAGAAGGAAATGGGCCCAGATGCCAAGCACCTGGCCCAAGGTCACACCGCTGTGATTCCGAATCGGATTCCGAATCCCTTACTCCAAAGACCTGCACTGTCTTAAGAGCAGCAGAGAGCAGGTGGGGGACAGAGTCAGGGTCGGCGGGGAGAGTGAGGTGAACCGTGCAAGTGCAAGGACAGATCCCGTCTTTCAAAAATTGTTGGTATTTTGTTCATTGTGGATTTTTTTTTATTAATTTTGATATTTTAAAAATATTATTTTTGCTGATTACTGAGGATTTTGGTACCTCCTTGAATTCTGCCCCCAAGATGGGCACCTTATTCATCTCCCCCTAGTCCCAACTCTGGGTTAGAGCCCACCGCCCGAAGCCCGGCTGCCTGGGTTTCAATCCTGGCTGTGCCACTCCTAAGCTAAGTGAGCACAGCGACCTTCCCTAACTTTGCTGTCCCCGTCTTCTCATCTGTAAAACAAGGCTGATGATAGTAGGACCGACCCTCATCAGGCTGTTGTGGAGAGTCAGTGAGATCACCCCTGTGAAGCCCGTAGAACACGGCCTGTGAGTATTCTATTCACGGGATGGGCTGGGTCACTCGGGCTCCCTAGACAGACGCCAGCCCCCAGCTGCGGTTCCACGTGAAGGCCTTACTTATCCCACTTTGGGGATGACACCTGTCCCCATCTGTGAGCTGTGATGGCAGATGCTGCCAGACTAGAGTCAGTGTTCCTTAAGTGTGGTCAGTTTCTTTGTGCACTTGAAACCAGACCTAAAGAAGCTTGTTTTCCTGAAACCATAAGAATGATATAATTTATCATATTTCCATTTTGCCTGGGTTGCCAGGAAGCTCCGAGCCAAATATGGTCCTCAACTGTGGTAATTATTTCGGCTCAAGCTTCTGATAAAATTATCTTTTCTTTCCTTCAAAACATAGTCTCTAGTTTCATACAGTAATTCGATTAGTCATTAAAAAAATTTTTCTGTGTGAACTTTCGTGCCAAGAGGATGCTCCCTACTGAGGCTATGCTTGTGAACAAGGTGGACATGGATCTGCCTTCATGGGAAGTAACTCAGGGAAGAAAGAAGAAGCACCTAGAAAAGAGTGGGGGAGGGGCTCTGCTCTGACAAGAAAGGCAAGGTGTTCTGGAAACACGCAGAGAGGGCCTTCAAGCAGACTCAGGGTTCAGGGAAGGAAGGAATGTAAAGGAAGGCTTTCTGGAGGAAGTGATATCTAAATCCAAAGGACAAGAAAGAATCAGAAGAGAAGGAAACGCTGTTCCAGGCAAGATGAAAAGCACGTGCAAAGGCCCAGAGGCAAGAGAGGGCAGGTTTACTATGGTTAGAGCACAGAAGAGCCCTGAAGACATCATTTTTATATAATTAATTTCTTATTTTTATAAAGTTATCAATAACAGAATCTTTTGGGGGGATTGGAAGTGAAATAAATGAATCAACAACTATCTTAAATCAACCTCATCATAATTCTCTGATCTCAGGCCAGTCACTCGCTTCTGTTGCCCTCAGTTTCCCCATTTGCAAAACGAGGATGATAATCCCATCCTTGCATCTTTCCTTGGGTTCTGGTGCACAGTCTGTGAGACCAAGTCTGTGGAAGTGCTCTGGTCACTGCAAAGAGTCCTACTGATATCCTTGCACAGGGGGACATGGGCCTGGGAGGACCAGTATCCTTGCCACAGCTCTCCTGCGGACTTTCGTGTTGCCTTGGGGAGTGACAGAGCTCTCCATCTGAAAGGCTCTCCTTCTGAAAAGCCACCCAACCGCTGCCATGGACTCGCACGTTGTCTTGGGGGAGCCATGACACTTTCTTGGTCCGTTCCCCTCCGCCCCCACAAAGCAGGGGACACGGGAGCCCGCTGCACGTCCTGCATCTGTGTAAACACGGAGGACTACTGGTACTACACAGGCCAGCGTAGTCCACGGTCCTCGGGACTCCCTCAAGGACAGCTGCCCAGGAGCCGTGCGCGAGCCCCTCCATGTGGGCTGCTTAGTGCGACGACAGAACGGGGAGAAAGGACGCTGCCTGGGGCTGCTGGCCCCTGCCGAACACGACTGAATGGCACCAATATTCCATTTTGTTTTACAAAAAACACTCAGTAAAATTATCTCATCAAACTCAAGCTGCCAAGACATGGGAGGCCACGGGGCAAGGTGCCTGCATTGTAAGGAGAGCTCCCCAGACAGGCAGTTGGGGCCGGAAACCGCCGTGAGGGTCCAGAAAAAATGTCTGGTATGGCTTGGGAAGAAGGGGCCATTCTCCAGCACTGCTCAGGCCCTGGAGAGACTGAAGCCCACCCTGGAACCCCAATCGGAGGCCAGGGCGGGGGCCTCGCCGGCTCGCAGGGGGCGGCCAGACATCCCGCCCGGAGGGTGAGCAGTAATGAAAACACAGCAAGGAGGCTATTTATTTGGGGCAGAGTGCTCATTTCCAGGCCTGGCACAAGGAACCCCTCTTAGGCCCAGGCCATGAAAAATGAATTTGGTGAGGGTAGTGCTGAGGCAGCTCAACGGCTTCCAGCAAAAACATAATTAAACGGTGGGGGAAACACCACCTTCCCGGGTGAGGAGGGCCAAAGACTGACCACAGGCACAGAGGGACTAGAGCCAAGTGAGGAGGGGGAGTCGCTCTGGGTCCAGAGGTACGACAGGAAGAAGGCGGCCCCTCCCCTGGCACCGCCCCAAACTCTGAATGGTTTCCATAGTCGCTGTCTTGCTTGGGCTTCACCAAAACCCTAGGGTAGGGATTGAGGGAAAAGGGAGACCCATTTCACAGATGAGGATGTAGAAAGCCTGGGTGCAGAGGCATCACCCCAGCCGGAGCCATCCGTGGGTGGGGACAGTCCCTTGGAGCCTGCAAGCAATTGCCCCAGGACTCTCCTTTGTCCCCTAGAAGCCTCCCAGGGCATTTCCCTCTCCTGGGTGTTAACACAGGTGCCCGGGGGCCTGCCCCCCCCCAATCCAAACACACACACCGAGGTGATAAGGCTCTGCTCCGCTCTTGGATGCATTGCTGCATTCTCACAACGCTCTGAGTGCAGTTAAGAGTAGGATCCTTTCTGCTTATTTAGATGGCGCATGCTGCTTAATTTAGAAGACATTCTTTTCCATGCATTTAAGTTTCTTCTTTAAAAACCTCTGTTGGACAATAAAGAGCTGAAAGTATCTGCTGACTGCTCCATCTTCTGTTTTCTAGGCGAGGCAACTGAGGCCCAGTGATGTTCCTGAGGCCACATGTGGCCGAGGATTAAGCCAGAGGAGGGCCCCAGGCCCCTTCTGCTCTGGGCCAGCCGGTGAGCAGGCTGCATCAGCACACAGCCCACTGGGTTACCCCTTAAAGAACCAGAGGGAGCCAGGGACAGGGAGCAAGGGTGGGCTGGCTGAGGCCAGGACCCCTCCCACGTCAGAGCCCCTCCCTCGTACCTCCCAGAAAGGCCAGACGGAACAGTCAGTGCAGAAAGGCAGCATCCTAAGCTGAGAACATGGGCCAGGCTCCCTGGGCTGAATCATCCCTAGGCAACAGCTCTGGGGCAGAAAATGTGGGGTGAATCAGTGCCTTACTGACTGCACCCCTGCCTCCCAAGGGTCTCCGAGCAGGCCCCATTTTCCTACCCAAGAAGCATCTGTGAGGTCAGGGCTGGCACTCTTCCTAGGCTACGCCCAAACCCTCAGTGCCTTCGGGGAACAAGAGGAGAGTATTCTGACAGCAGGAGTGTCCAGCCTGGTCCCATATCTGACAAGTTCTCCCACCCTCCGGGCTCACCAGCAAATCCTCAGTCGCCTTCTCCAGAGCCTCAAAGAGCTGGTCCCACAGCTCAGAAGGCTGAAGGAAAGGCACAGAGGAGGTATTTGCTTGCACACTGGGACAGAAGGGCTTGGCGCTCTTTCTTTCCTTCCATCCTGACACACAGACATCAGAAAATGAGACCCTGCGGTTGGGGATCTCAGAGGTCATCTGTTGGCCTTGGCTTGTGCTGCACCCTGCCCCTGTAAGGCGTCCCCCTCATTTCCACATGTCCAGCTAACCAATCTCAAGGGGGCCTTAAATGATCACGCTAATGGTGATCATAACGTCAACAACAAAAGCTAAAGTCAATGACAACATCAAGCCCAGCGCGCCAGTTCTAAGTACTCTTGTTATCAGCCCCATTTTACAGATGAGGCAACTGAGGCATAGGAGGGCTAAAGAAGTTGCCCAAGGTTACAGAGCTACTATGTAAGGGGTGAAACCTAGATTCAAACCCAGGCTGAAGGCTCCAGAGATCATATCCTTTACCATGGAGCCTTCACTCCCTCCTCCACAAAGCCAGCCAGGCTACAGCCCTTCTCTGAATCCCCATGGCACTCTGAGCTGTTCAGGCCCTGGACATGTGCCACCCCATCTCACAGCAAGGAGTGGGTACACAGATCCCCTCCAGCAGACAGGGTGCTGGAGGACCCAGCCAGCCAGCCAGAACACCAAGCAAGGTCCTGTATCCAGCAGGGTCCCCACCAAAGAAAGCAGATGGCTTAACAACACACAACCCCCATATAAACCATTGTCCATACCTGATGGATGCTTCCTTGAAGAAAAGTCACCAGCTCCTCGTAGCAGGTCAAACTGTGCAGTGTGAGCTGAGGAGACACGAACCCACAGCGTGAGCTGCCCGAGCCCCACAGATGCTTCCATGTCCCACCCTGGCTCCGGTAGCTACAAGACCCCACTCGAGAATGTCCCTGCAGTCACAGTAGCGACCTCGGGAGCCGGGACAGTGAGGCACCCCCATGCCTGCGTGTGACTTAAAAGGCAGACAGGGCCCAGCTGGGGTCTCCGGGGTCAAGTCCGCCCTGCCATCTGCACCAGGCCTACAGAGCCCAGGCATGAAGACACCAGGGAGCTCAAGTGAAGGAGCCAGCATCACACGTGGCTGCACCCCTACGGGCCAGTCACAGGTATCTGAGAAGCACCTGGGGGCGCACGGGGGGCCGGGGTGGGCATCCCATCCAACTGGCCACTGCCGGGCCAGCTCTGAGCCCAACTCACTGTCCTGAGTTCAGTGGGAAGCCGTGGGTCTCAGTGTCCTTTGCTTTCTCGGGCAGCTCAGGAAAAAAACCACTTGTAGAGAGAACACCCGACCAGGGGAGAGCCCTAATTAGGATCCCAGGGCCACATGGGCCCAAACTTAGGTCAAAGGAAACAAAGGAGGTCAAATAAAAGTCCTCTGTGAAGAGGAGGCGCGTTTGTGGGAAATGTCACTGTGTCTGTATCCTCACGTCTTCCATTTCTTTCCCTTACTTGGTCAAACTAGGTCTGGCTTCATGGCTGGTGTTCTGTTCCCCACTCTCTAACTTCCCCCCTCCATCTCCATGCCATCCCCCTGCCCTCTCACAACCCCGGCGAGGGTGCTGAGGAGACAGAGAGGGACAGAGACGGCTGCGGTTTGGCCAGAAGGCATCATGCACGGGCCGCTCTTCTCTGTACAGCCTCCACGTGACCGGGCACCCATCAGCCCTTCGGCCACAAGGGCAGTTCTGGCGAGAGCCCACCCCCTAGCCCCCCACCCCGGCCCCCACCCCAATCCCAGGTGGAGGATCTGCTAGCCTGGGCTGCAGGGAGGGCTGGCCCATCCCCAGCTGAGGGAGGATTTACTTATATGAAAGGAGACAGTCCCCAAACAAAGCCAAAGGTTGCGTGATAATTTTCCAGAAAGCCGTACTGTTTCTAAGACTCCATCTGCTTTGTATTTCCCTGTTGGACTGAACTGCTGTGTTCCTGAAGCCCTAAAAAGGAAAGGGAGATGCATGAGTCCTGTGCGTGGACAGAAGACATGCCCTTGAGCCAGGGTGAAACCACATGTGCCATTAACTGAGAACAAATCAAAAGGTGGCTCCGGAGGAAAGAATGGGACCAAGGGTTTCTCGTTTCCCCTCCACTTTGAACTCACCCACTGGGCTGGGCCCAGAGGACGCCACGAGTGGGGGTGGGAAAAGGAATGGAGAAAAGACGGCAGAAGGAGAGCTCGGGGTAACCAAACCCAAGTCCTGGCACTAGCGAGTCTGCCTCTCACCCACAACTGACAGATTTCCAGACAAAGGAATGCTGACTTGCCCTTAGCTTTCAGGGCCGTGAGGAATTCCAGCCTCTGGCCTGAGGCTCCCCACCCCAGCCCCATCACCATCTGTTTACAGCCACACCAGGCATGTGCAGCCCGGTGAGGCGGGCACTAGAAGCAGGGTTTGGGTGTGGGGCCCACAGTGCCATTAGCCTGCTGCGTAGGCTGGGAACGGCTGTTGCCTCTCTCTGGCCTTCTGTCTGCTTATCTGTAAAACAGGGAGAAACTGAATTTTTGCCCCATCTGCTTTCAGGGCTGCCATGCAGATGCTAAGGGCCAGGGTTAATGTGGAATAACGTATTCACTGGAACACGAGGACCGAGGACAAGCACTCCATAGGAACAATAATATCTAACACTGACATGGTACTTAGTATGTGCCAGACATTGTCCTAAGCACTTCACGTTTATTATTATTTACCATTTATTTATGTGGATAAATGATTTAAATGGATAGCTAATATTATCATTTATTATAGATAATTTATTTATATTGACTCATTTAATTCTCAAGTCACTCTACCAGATGATCCTTGCTATCATCTGCATTTTCCAGATGAGTAAACAGATGAAGCACAGAGAGGTTGAGTCAGCTGCCCAAGGTCACACAGCCAATAAACAACAGCATTGGGAGTTAGCCTCTGGAGCCCCTTCTCTCAAGCAGTATGCTCTATTGACCCACCAGGTCAGAGCCCAGGAATGAAGACACTGGGGAGCTCTGGAGTGTAGTCTTTGGCCCCCAAAGGCACCCCTTTTACTAAAGCTTAGCCACAGGCCTGGGATGAAGTGATGCTTCCACTCTGAAGGGCCTGACTGAAGAGCCGGCAAACCATCCATGTGGCCTGCAGTAGCGATAGAGGGGGCAGGGAAAGTCTCTTCCTCCATGGAACGGGGGTCCAAGTGACAAAGTGAAAGGGAGCATGCTTCGGGGACTAGGAGAGACATACGAAGCAGAGGGTGACTGGTTCCTGAGAGGTCTGAGATTTTCTCAGATGGGATGCATCCCCCAAGGCTCCCCAGGGAGGAAGGCCAGGCAGAGAGGAGACTGGAGCTCCGTGGAGGCCCCTCTGGGCCTCTCCCTGTGGAGGGCTGCCCCCCTGGGCTCGTGCTGCCATGGGGCACAGGGCTAGCGTCCGGGAGGACACACAGACAAGCTGAGTGGGAAGACGATTCCGAGGACGGGAAAGCGCACAGCCAGCTTGCCTGCAGCTGGGCCAACGCGTGAGTGGAGCCCCGTGTACAGCCCTGGGAAGCACTCACAGTGTGACCACGGCTCTCTCATGGCCCCCGGCCCGCCACACGATGTCTGCGATGGCCAGAGCGAGGCAGTGGGTCCTGCGGGCATTGGAAGGCTGCAGCTGCCTGAGGAGGAAAAAGAGAGTGTGTTTATGCCCATGGCGACACAAGCCAGGGACGGGGCAGCCCTGTGGCAGATGGCCTATTCTTTCCTCTGCCACACAGAGAGGGCTCTGCAGCCCAGGGACTCCGTCCAGCAGGGCCTCCTCCGACGAGGGCCAAGGGAAGAGCCCTGACGGAGAGGCCCTGGGTGGGGCTGGAGGAGGAGAAGGTCAAGGAAACAGCCCAGGGGGAGCAGAGGGGACCCTGGAGGCTTGGCAGGGCCATGAGTTCTGACGGAGCCCAGGAGGCTGTGCTGAATGTGCTCAGGAGCTCCTGCCATCCGGAGGAAAGTGAGCCATCCCAGGCAAATGTCTGGTACTGCCCTGACCCAGCCTTGGCCACTCCCAGCATTCGGGCCACTGGAGACAGCAGCTGTGCAAGCAGGTGCCCTTCATTCCCACCAGCCACAGGAAATGAGATCATGGGTGCAGAGAGGAAAGTGGCCTGCCTTGCTGGTTACTTAGATATAGATTGTAGGATGGGGAAGAGGAAGGATTCATGGTAATCTCTGGGCATTTAGTGGGTGCACAGTGGGGCTGCCAACTGAAATGAGGAATATAGGGCAGAGAGGAGGACTGGGGGAGCAGCTGGAGGTGCACGTGGGACCCCCTGGGTGAAGCTATCTGACACATGGAAAGCCCAGGAGAGCATCGGGGCTGAGGATAGGTTTATGCACCACCAGCATGTGAGGGGTCCTTGGCCCTTTGAGGGGCTAAGATTCTCCAGACAGAGGATGAGGAAGGGCAGAGATGGCAGCCAAGGATGAAACCCCACAGGACTCTGGTGTACCAGGGATGCAGAGGACGGCAGGAAGCAGCACAGCAGTAGGGGCACGGCTGGGAGATGGTGCTATTACACAGTCCTAGGAGCAAATGGACTTTGAGCAAAACAGGCAGTCAGCAATGTCAAAAATGGCAGAGACACCTTATGATAAAAATGGTAACACAGAAGCCCTGGTGCATGAAATGAGCAACAGGGAAGAACAGGCAACAGCCTGATAGAGACACTTCCTTCAGTTTCACATTTCCAGGGCTCCTAGAGCTGTACTTCTTGCCCACTGCTGGAGTCTATGAATTTTTTCTAAGTCCTTAGAAAAATTAAATTCTTACAAAAGCAGTCTGAGTGTTAGGCTCTTCCTAACAAACAAAGGTGCCTCGATGAAGACCCTGCTGGGGCTCAAAGGAATACACGGCAGGGGGCAAGGGGTGGGGGTCGGGGTTCTATGTTTTCAGTGGCCAACTAACACCTGAGCTCCATGCTAAGCTGTGTGGGGGAGAAAGAAAACTGGAGAAATGGGAACCAGGAGACCAGGACACAGGTCACTGTGATGGGCAGCACGTGGTCACTCCCCAGTGCCTGAGACACAGAGCCAGTGGCCTGCATCCAGGCTGTACAACGCCTTTAAAATAGGAGGCAAACGACATAATCGTCCCTCAGTTTTCCCTTCCATAAACTGGAGAGGACCCTAGTACCTCCTCTGTAGCACTGGGAACTTTAAACAAGGTGATGTGTGTAAAGGTCCATAGCCCAGTGCCTGGCACAGGGTGAATGGTCAGTAATGGATACCTATCACTGTTGTCTTTATGGAAACATCAAGTCCCCACCTTGGCTGTGGTGACGGGAAGGTGAACTCCTACCATCTGGTGTAAAAGTGACAAGAAGCCCCTGACACCAGGGTATCCTTCAAACCTAATGAGACAAACAACAAGTCCTCAACCACTTGAAAAATGAAATGGCAGACTGCCTGTTACTTGTGCAGCCTCTGGAAGCCCGCCATGCTCCTCGAGGAAATGGTTACCATGCCATCACCAAACCAGGCGGCCTGGGCTGTGGGGGGAGCACTGGCCTGGGTCACCATCAACTATGAAAACAAAGGTGAGGAAATGTTGTGCTGGGTTTCCGGAGAGGTGATGCCAAGGACAGAGAGGGGCCTGGAAAGCACGGCTTGTCAGACAAAGGAGAAGGGATTGGACATTTATCCCCTTGGATTCAGAACCTATGAAAGTAGGCTTTGTCATCCCCACAGCTCCTGTTTCCTGCCCTGCCCCCACCCAGGTGACCGTCACATCCTGTCAAACACACCTCCTGAAAACCCTTGCCAATCCCCTTCCTGCCCCTGCCCGGGACCAGGGTGCTCTGCTCCCCAGCTGAGTTGTTCCAGCCAGGGCCTGACCAGCATCTCTGCTCCATCTTGTCCCTGTGGGCTCTTCCTACACCACAGGTGTGACCAGGGTTCCCCCCAGTTAGAACCCTTACCATGGCTAGGAGTTGTGCAAACTTGTGTCTGGACTTTAAACTCTGCCTAGAATATCTATGCTGGGAAACCTGCAGACGTGGAACCAAGAGGTCTCCTTTCACACATTCACTGTGTTCTACACTAACTTGCTGAAGCAAGTCATGTGCTTGATTGAAAGTTTCTCAGTGTAGCCATAAATGAGATTTGAAAAGCCGACATATACTGAGTATCTATCATGTGCCAAGCACTGTTAGAAACACATTGCATGTATTATTTCATTAGCCATTAAAGCTACCCTATTGAGGTGGCAGTATTATTGCTTTTAAATGGGGAAACTGAGGCACAGAGCCTAAGGGATTCACCCAAGGTCACACAGTTAGGAAAGTTGGAAAAATTAAAACAGCATTGAGGGAGGAAGGAGAACTTGGGGAAATGGAACCGACTGTCTAGAGCTCTTGGCTTTAGGAACCAGCATTCCTCTGTCTTCAAGCCTGTCTCTTGGGCACCATGAAACACTATCAAGAGATCTGGCTTCTCAGTCCGGCCCGTGTCTTTCTGATCTCACGGACTGGTTACAGACCCTCTGAACCTCTGCGTTTCTACAGAAAAGTCCTCATTTTTTACACTGGCTTCCATTTAGAAACACTTCCAGTCTCTTCATCCTTCCCTGGGCCCCCGTTTGCTCTTTTGAGATACATCTTTCCAGAAGACACAGTGGAAAAGTGCAGTGGTTGGGCCTGGGTTTGGTTCCTGGCTCCCAGGCCTTGGAGAAGCCCCTTGCCCTCGCTGGCCTTCGCCTCCCACATAGATGTGGACACTGGGCCACGTGCCCCCAAACATCATTCCGGTATTGCCATTTCTGCCATTTAACTGGCCACAGGGTAGACAGGGCTGTCCGTGCAGACGACGAGAGGAAGGGGGCGCTGTGGTGAGTCACCCAGGCTCCAGCTCCACCAGGTATCTCCCTGCTTTCGCCTGCAAAATCTCAATGGCAAGGGTGGTTCCTGTTTGCCTTCATCGGTAAGACGTGCACTCATCAAACTCCTACCATGAACCTAGCACCCAGCCAGGCTCTCCAACCAAGAGAAGTTTCTTTAAGCATCTAATTCCTCACAGGAGAAGTACAGGATGAAGACATTTGCCTACGGGTGGTGGTGGGCATGGGGGAGTAATACAGCCTGCATGTTTGCCCAAATTACTCCAGTCCTTCAGATTAAGAAATGTTCTGATCCCAACTATCTCGAAATGGCCTCACCCATCCACTCTGATGTGCCCAGCGGTTCGCGTCTCCAAACCACCCAGAGGAAGTCTGGTGAATGACCACAGCCTTTCTGCTCCCTCTCAGGCTCACAAGCTGTTGCAGGCAGTGGGGAGAAGGCCAGTCCGGGGGCCACCGGACCTGGGGTCCAAGCCCGGCTCTGCTACGGTGTCCAGACAGGCCTCGGGCAAGTGCCCCTCTTTCTCTGGGCCTTGAATTTCACAATTTCAAAGGGAAGAGGAGGTGAGGGGACAACATCCTTGTCTGCGGCTCTCTCTAGGCCTGCAGGGGAGTGAGGCTCGTCGTCTCTTCCCACACACCGGCACAACCACCTCCTCAAGGGGAAAACACAGAGTCCTGCCGCCTGGCTCTGTCCTCCCCAACTGAGGAGAGGCCAGCTGCCGGCCTGACGGAGTGGGTCCTAATGAAGCCAGACAGCTCCAGAGAAAAAACACCACAACTGCCAAGAGGCCTTTACTTCAGCATGACTTCCCTGGGAGGGCGCAGTCAATCCCCCACGCTGCTTTCACAGAATCGCTCCCCATCAGTGGCGGGTGGCGGGTGGCGGGTGGTGGGCGGAGGGCGCGAGGAGGGGCCCCACCGCCAGCCCCAGCATGGGAAGGCCCACAGGTCCTTCAAGCGCCCCCCAGAGCCCAGAGTTGGGCAGCTGCACATGCTGCCTAGGTGTGGGGGGCCAGGCCACCATGGTGTTCCTGAAGAGAAAAAAGGAGTCACCTGTATTTTTTTTTTTAAGTTGGGTCATTTCTGAAATCCTGGAATTTCAGAGTCAAAAGGAAGTATTGAAGCCTCGAACCCATCTCAGCACACACTGCCCATGTAGAAACATCAATGACCCAACCCGTCGATATTAAAATTGTATGAATAAACCAATGAAACCAGAGGAGCTGGGCATGAAGAGGGGCTCCTACAGGGTGTCACCCTTTGCTCACATGAGGTGTTTGCTGTATTACTCTTTGTACTTCCGTACTGAGTTCTTCCAAAGTAGGGGAAAGGGGAAGGGTGTGCCCAGAAGGCCTCTGTAAAACACAGAGCCACGCCTTGGTCACTGAGAGTCCGTCTGGGGGTCCGGCACACGAATGTTCCAAACGCCTGGTGTCGGCCCCTCCTGACCTCTCTGGCTCTCCTGTTGCTCAGAGTCTCTTCTGGGGCACAGCAGAGCACGAAGGCGGACAGGGCTCAGCCGCAGATGCCAGGAGTGACCCTGGGTGAGCATCTCCCCTCTCTGAGCCTCGGCTTCCCCAGATGGTCCTGCCTGCTTGCACAGCCCTTGATAATTTACAAAGGACTGGGCTTGCATTTCCTTGTTGAGTCAAACTTAGGCAAGACAGAGATTCACCAATGGAGAAGGTGAAGCGCTGCAGCCCAGGTCTCTGAACCCAGCCCTGTAGGGCCTCATCACCACGAAACAGCAACCCAGACTCTGCTCTCACTTCCCTCCTTTGCTGCCAGCCCTGGGCACCAGCCCCTTGCTCCCCGGGCCTTTGTTTGACCCAAGTCCTAGCTTGAAGCCAGAAGAACTCTCCTCTCCCACCGCCAATGGCCCTCCAGCCCCCGAGTCAGGCTGTAACCTCAGCAAACCCGGCCCCATGGCAGGGGAAGTGGGAGAAGGAAACACAGGACTGGGGGTGTGGGGGTGTGTGTTATGTGTGTGTGTGTGTGTGTGTGTGTAGGCATCTGGTGCCCCTTGCCTATAGTCCATCACCACTGGGACTCCCCCAGCTTGTCCCTCTCTGAGCTACCTCTTCCTGAGCTCCTGCTAGAGCCCCAGTGGATGGAAGCAGAAAGCCAGCCCACGGTGCTCCACCTCATGGAGATGAGCCCTGGTTGCAGCACCTGGAGCAGCAGGGGGTGAGGGCAGAGAGGGGAGGGACTTACCAGGAGCACCCATAGTTGTGGGGCTCCCAAGAAAACTGAGGTCACTCTTCTGCAGCATGAATCCTTCCATGCTTCCTGGAGGAGGGGACCGTGGCCAGCAGGCCGAGTTCCCTGGATACTCCACACATACTGCTGAGCCAGGCAGCCAGACTGGGGCTCCTTCCCACCTGGCACACCCCTACATATACCCCCCCCGCAGCTCCTTCTTCCCCCTTCTCCCTCTGCCTAACCACCACTGCCCCTAGGACCCAGCTCAGACCCACCAGCCTGGCCACCAAGGGCCTTCAATCTAGGCTGGCCCCGACTCCTCTCTCAGAGTCCCAGCTGACAGGGAGCCCGTGGGAGCCAAGGCTGCACTCCCTCCGCCTCCTTCCCAGCTAAGACTTGATGGAACTCTCCATCTAGTCGGTGCTTAAATAGACACCTGTCACTGTAAACTGGGGCCTAAGCCCAGGCTTGGCCAGTGGCTGGCTGGCAGATGGTGAGAGGTAGAAAGAACCTCACTTCCCACTGCTCACCCGGTTTTCTTTCCGCCCAGAGCCCGACTTTCGCCCACAACCAGGATGGCTTTTTGCCTTCCAAGCCCTCGCTCCCCTCTCTGGTGTGGAGAGCAGAGCGCTCCCCGGAGAATGTACCTGTGGATCCAGAGGCTGGAACATTCCCTCAGTGGTGTGTGGGGTGGGCGACAAGGAATCGAGCCTGCCTTGTGTGTGCCCTGGACAGAAACAGCCCTTCCTGGAACCAACTTAAATGCCCCATCCCAATCATTGGAAAACAATCCACAACTTCCCCCCAAGTACAAAGTCCAAGTTCAAAAGCAGCTCTGAATGAGAAGAGGGCTGAAATGAATTATGAGACATCTCCCATGAGGGCCAAGGCCAAGGCTTGACCCAAGCAGCTGGTAAGGCCCCAAGGCCCCTCTGGCAGCCTGGCCCTGACCCATCTGCCAGCCCCAGGTCTCACCCTGCCCCCCCGCAAACCCTGCCCTGGCCACCCCAGGCAGCTCTCGGCTCCCTTGTCCGCCCTGCTCTCACTGCCCTTGGGCCTCTCTCTGCACATGCTGTTCTCCTTACTGGAACACCATTCCCTCCCCTCCCTGTGAGTCTGGATAACTCATGCATTTGTGCATGTGTTCATTCAACAAAAATTCCGAGGGCCTCTTCTGTGGCCTAGGCCCTGGGCTGGATGCCAGGGACAGGCTGTGAACCAGGCAGCCCAGGAAGGCCCCTGTTCTCATGGGGCTGGTATTCCCAGGGGGTGGAGCGGTGGGGGTGCAACCGTGGACAGGTAACGATGTCAGGGAACAAGGGCACCTTGGAGCAGGCCCGGGGTTCTTCTCACCTAGGGAAGGCCTCCGTGATGTCAAGGCCTCTGTGCAGTAAGGAGCCCAAGAAGAAGTCTGAGGGATTCGCTGGGAAGGGGGAAATTGAGGGAGGAACGAGCATATATAAGGATGTGTGTGAAGCCAACTGGGAGTTGATGACCTCCAGACCTCAGCGGGATTCGAATGTCACCCCTCCAACAGGCCTGCCCCACCCCGTTCAGGTCTGGGGGAACCCTGAGCATCCGGCACATCCCCTGGAGCCTCTGTTTGTCTGGCTCTCACACTCAATCATAGGTGCCGTGAAGGCAAGGCCGAGGCTGTCCTCTGTCTTCCCTCCAAGCACCTGCCAAGCCCTCCCAGCATGCTTCTTTCCAGCGCAAGGAAGGGAGGTGGGCAGTCAGGCGCATGTGCACTCGGGGACAGTCCCTGCACCCTTTGAGGGCAGCCAGAGGTCGCTCATTTGGCAAGTTCCACTCAGTCGGGAGCATTCCAGAACATCAAGCACTGTGCTACCTCTCCAGGACAGTCGACAGCAGGGTCTCTGCCCGCACTGTGGTTAGCTGGCTGGCCTTTCAGGGGCCCTGCACAGACAGGAGCAGTTATGTCTGGACGTGATGGGGAGGTGGGGGTGGTGTGGAGAAGAACAAGGACGAGGTGAGATCCCGCTGTGGAAATGTTAGGTCGCTCTGCTCTGGGTATGGCTGGGCTATGCTGGTAACTGGCATCTTTTAACTTGAGACAAAACCGCTTGATGATTACTTTGTAATTAGACAAGTTATATTATTAGACAAATTCTAAAATGCCAAGCATGAAAAGCTACCTATCTAAGGCAAAATCCTCTAAAGTGGTAAAAGATGTTTCATCTGTCCTGGGCTTGGCAGGATATCTGGGGAGCCAGCATCCCTCCCAGGAATCTGCACACGGAAGAATGGGGAATGGGCCTTGTTGTCTTTATAACACCTAAGCTTTTTTTTTTTTTTTTAAGGCACTGAAATGCCTACATCAAAGAACAAGACCCTTTAATTAAAATTCAGGAACTGGCAAAACTTAGCTGTGATTTTAGAAGCTGTTTAATCACAACTTTTGGGAGGAGAATGGAGGTATCTACTAGGCAGGACGACTCTTCCGGCATGCTGGAAATATTTTTCTTTCTTGATCTGGCTGATAGGATGATGGGGCGGGGGGATTTTGCAATAATGCATTGAGCAGAACACATATGAGTCATGCACTTTTTTGAGACGTGTACTTTCCTGTATGCATGTTATCGTTCAACTAATAAAGAGAGAGAGAAATAAGAATACGTGCCATTTCTGTAGCTCTGGGGGTAACTGAGCACAAGCTAGTCACTGGGCACACAGGGAGATGAAAGGAGGCCATCTCCTCAAACTGGCCATCCAGCCCCGGCCCTGGCCAGCACCTGGCCAATACTTCTAGCTTAGCACCAACCATGGTATACAGTTATGGTTTTCTATCCATCCCTCCACCGCACAGAGCATTCTGCCTGCACAGAGATGTTCCAGAAAGGTCTGTGGAGTGAGTGAGAAGGAGAAGGAGGTGCCCATGTGCAAACACGTAACGTGTGGGTGGAGACAAATGGCCGAAGAGAGTGGAAGCAATGCACTGCGGGGCCGGCTGGCATGTGTGGGAATGGCTGTTGGCAGAGGTGAGGCAACATGGGGAGGGAGGGGAGACCTGGGCTCCATCGAAGGGTCAGCAGGTTGATGTGGGTGTGGATGGGCTTTGGGCAGCTGCTGCGCTTAGCTGCTGAGGAGGGGGTGGCCTTAGTTTTGATGCCATTCCAGCAGCTACTTGCCACGTGGAATGGGACTCAGAGACAAATACATGCAGGTCATTTCAACTGGGCAGCGCTGGCCCTCTGAGCCAGTCACCATTTCCCTTTCCAGAAGACAGGAAATATCAGGGAACACACACGCTTCCTTGCTTGTTTTTTCTGGACACTGAGGAGAAGCCTCGGGAAAAGAAGATATTGCCAGAAGGAGCGCTGACTTACCGAACGCAGTCAGCTTCGCTATCTCCTTCAAACAGGAGTTTTTGTAGGACACAGCCTTGGACAGCTGCCAGAACCCCACAGGGACCCCCCTGCAAAGAAGGACACACATTAGTGCCCGTGAGGACCGACCCAAGGCAGAGCTGTCTGTCCCTCCAGAACCAGTCTCCGCCCACAGGTTAGAGACCCAGCGCCACCAAGCCACTGCCTCTCAAACAGGGGCCTTTGCTATGCCGAGTCCTTCCACAGAGCCCTGAGCCTAGTCACAGAGAAGGGGTGACAAAGGCCCCGGTGGCCAGCACTGGAGGAAGGGGCGAATCTGCATGTCTCACGGGAGGAAAGCAGGCCTTCACAACCAGTCAGGTGTAAAACCAAGTACGTCACCATAAGTTCCCAGTCATTCAAGGAAATGCTTCCATGTCCACAGGCTGAGGGTGTCAATGGTTTACTCAGCCTTCAAGGCCCATCCTAAAGGCCTCCTTCACCAGGAAGCCCTCCCTGACCATCTCAGCAGCCCCTTCAGCAGCCTCTGCTTATGTGAGCAATCTTCTGCCCAGCTGTGGCCTGCCTCAGCACCCATCAGGTGTGTCTTTGTCCCCCATGCCCCCACGTTAGAGGAAGAAGTCTCCTTGAGGGGTTCACCCCTATTCAACAAGTACAAGAATTATCAGAGTAGCAGGCGTGGGTACCCTTGAACTGGGGGTGTAAGAAGATGTGCTGAGCTTGGCCACACTAGGGACAGAGGCCAATGGTCTTGGGGTTCTTCCACAGGCAGTGAGGAGCAAGGGGAGGCACCTGGGGCTTGACAAATGGAACCTCACTGGGCTGCTGGATTGAGAGTATCTTCTGGCCCTTAAAGTGTATAACTCGGGAAATGTGTATACACCATGTCCAAATCCTGCCCCGGTGTACCTACATTTCCCTGTCTTAGAAAACACCTCCTCCTCACAAACTTCTTCTCAAAGCCTTCCCTTTATACTCATGCTGCCTCCTCCTTCAAGTGCTCTCTCTCCAGCCCTACCTGCAAAACCACTTCCCGAGACTCTGCCTGAGGACCCTCTCTGAGGCCCCCAACTAAACAAAGGCCTCCTTCCGCCCGTCTCAGAGAGGGTTCTGGCCACTGAGGAGAAGCCTCTGTGGGGGAAGGGTCACGTCCCCCAGCTCCTGCTCTGCCAGCCCCACGTGAAGCTGCAGCACTGGGTGACAACTCGGCAAACACGGGGCTAGTCAGCACTGGATAGCTCAGCAAACTGCGGGACACCCGGCCCTACCTGTGACGGGCCCGCAGCGACGTCCCCCGGAAACGTAAAAGCAACCTGCCTTGTTCTGCACAATGCCGTATTTTAACGAGGCTTTGTCATTAAAGGAAAAACTCTGAAGCTTCCATTCCTCATTGAAACAGCAAAAGCTGGAGCCGAACAGAAGGGCCTTTATGTCCTGTCAAAAGAAGAGAGAGTTTCCTTAGTTGTCTTCAAGGCAAACAATAATACGCCACTCGGTGTCTGTACTCCCTCAGGAGCTGGTCTTGCATTCTAGCGGCGCAGCCTGCTTTCCAGCAGGCTCATCGATTTTTCTTTTTATTTTGCAAACTCATTCTCCTCATATTTGAGAAAAGAGAAAAAGCGACGCTGAGGGTCTTGCCTCTGGAACATCCATAAACCAAACCAGCCTGTGCTGACCCAGGCCTAGGCCTTTGCAGGCTCCTTAGAGGAAATCTGAAACACAGAATTTTAGTTTTAGAAGGGACCTTGGAGGTTCTTGACTGCACATACAATCACCTGTGGGGTGCTTAACAGTCCTGATGCTCAGGCCACACGCCAGCCCAGCTAAATCAGAACCCCTGGGTGGCAGACTCCAGTGGCTGTAATTTTAAAAGCTCTCCAGGCGATTCCAACGTGCAGCTACGTTGGAGAACCAGTGCCGTGAGACAGGCTTAGCAACCTGTGACCCACGGGCCAAATTTGGCCCCACACGTGTTTTGGAAATAAAGTCTTATTGAAACACAGCAACACCCATTTGATTTTATTTTCTCTATGTTGGCTTTCACATTGCAATGGCAGAGTTGAGCAGTTGCAACAGAGAGCCAAAAATATATGATCTGGCCCTTTACAGAGAGTTTGCCAGCCCCTGTTGCAGTACCACCCCTTAGTACGTGTAAGAATCTCCTCTATGCCATCACCCACAAGTGTCCCCCGTGAACTCAACTTGAACCCCAACAATCCAGTGAAGGGGTTCCTGCCACCCCCCCAAGCCAGTACCTCCATTTCTTCACAGCTCTGTCTTCTCTAAACTTCTGGCTGATACTGATCTCACTGTTCATCTCCCATAAGCCCAAGCCCCACCCTCCAGAGCCCCAGAAAGCGCCAACCACTGCCCGTGACCAGTCCGGGAAAGCAGAGCCTCTCCCTGGATGCCCCCTCCTTATGCCAGCCACCTCTCCTCTCTCTCCGCCATGACTTTACACCCAGGGTCTCAGAAGGGCCAACACATGGGCTCTGTTGCCACCTCTCCAGGTCAGATCTTTCCTACAGATTCAGATTATTTCCTTTCAGAATCGGTTCTTTTTTATTTTTCATTAAGTACAAGAAAGTCTCAGTGACAGAAGCATTTGTCTACACATCATCAAATGCGGGCTGGCGGCGCACAGGAGAGAAGACTGGGTGAATTCGTCCATCGGGGCTTGGTTTCCCTTCTTGCACCAACAATCCATGTATTTGAACCGAGCTTTTCGAGAGCCTGCGAACTATAGGGACTGGACTTTTCCGGCTGAAGCCCAGGTCTGTTCTCTTAGTCACAGAACAACAGCCCCCGGCTAGGCACAGTGTGGCCACCAGGGCACAGGGTTGTGAGCCTGAAAGCCTGGGTGCTATGGATGCTGTGTGCCCTGGGCCCTCCTTTTCTCTGGGTGGGCCTCAGTTTTTCCAGCTGCTTTGGGAGATGCTGCTACTGGGTGGTCTAAATTTAGGGGTCTCAAAGGGCCCTTCCCAAAACAGGAGTGTTCACTGCAAAGAATCACAGCCCTGTGGCTACAGAGAGTCAGAGCACTTACTCCAGGCTTGGGGCCATGTAAAAGTGTCTGACCCAACCCCCACCCCCTGCCCCCCATGGTTTCAAAAGAAAGAAAGAAAAGGGAGGGAAGGAATGGGAAGGGATAAAACTTCTAGAAAAATCTTTGACTTTTTTTAATCTGTGTGCTGAGTATTTACAGGTAGGAAGAAAAGGGGGTCAACTGTGTCCCCAGGCATTTTAGCTTTTCCTCCTGGATCCTGGCTCAAGAGCCAGTGGAAGACAGCAGGAGCAGCATTCCATCCCCCAGGAACTGCTGGCCAAGGGGAGGGGTGAGGCCATCTGGCAGCTGAGATGGTGAGGAATCCGGGGCATCCCTGCAGAGGAGGCTGACAAGGCCAGGAACCTGCTCCCTAAGTCCTACGAGCTCAAGTCCCTCCTAGGAGGCCACTGGTGTGAACCCGACGGTGCTGAGGAATTAACACCCACCTGTCCTTCCCTCACTGCAATCCAGCCTGAGCCCAGCTTGGGGGACGAGCGCTAGAGAGCCGGTCTAATGAGGACGGTTCTCCCACTGCTGCCACAACTCTGGAGGTGCCCGTTGCACATGTGCAGAAGCAGCTCTGGGCCGAAAGAAGAACAAGACCCTGCAATGTCTGAATGGGAGGAGGCTGTACCCTCACCTCTTCTTGGAGGGGACCAGGCCCCCCATTTTCCTGACTCTCAGTTCAGGCTCTTCTCTACCACACCTGAATTTCCACTTTAACCATGACTGAGACGTAAGATGGATGGGGCCAGAGGGATCAAAGTCACCTCACCCATACCAATTCACACCAAGACAGCTTCAATTCACACTGCACCAATTCACACCAATTCAAATCAAGATGTATCAATGCACACTTTTAAGGTGACGCCTACCTTGGCCACTGAGAGGTCGATTGGCTTTGACACTATTTGCAGCTTGAGCATCGATGGACCTGGAGACAGGATGACTTCATCCTTTATCAATTCATCCTCCACATCCTCTGAAAGAATACCAGGGCACGTGAGCTCCTTATTATGACCCATGGAGAACAGAATAAGAAATCATTTGGGGCGCCTAGGTGGCTCAGTCGGTTAAGTGTCCGACTCTTGATTTTGGCTCACGTCATGATTTTCATTTTCAGGTCATGGGATCAAGCCCCACATCAGGCTCCACACTCAGCAGGAGTCTGCTTGAGAGTCTCTCCCTCCCTCTCCCTCTGCCCCTCCCCCAGCTCTCTAAATAAATAAATAGATAAATAAATAAATAAAATCTTAAAAGAAAAAACAGAAATCCTTTAACACCAAGGACATGGATGAGTTTGAATGAAAGGAGGGCTTCCTTATCTTCCACCCACCTCTCCCCTTTGGGGCTCCCAGACCTTCACCAGAAGGAAAAAAGGCAGAGCAAGGGCCCTCACTCCTGTCACAGCCCATGCTGGTCCACGGCACAAGGATGCCAGTGGGCATGATCTGGCTACTGGTCCACTAGAAAGTTCTACCTGTGGACATGCAGTGAACAAGAGCCTAAGGCTGAAGCCATGGAGTCAGGCCCAGAAAAGCCTCACCCAGACACCTTTCTTACAAAGGGCGGGCACAGCGCACAAACCTGTGCCTGAGGACAAACACGAAGAGGGCAGAATTAAGAAAGAAAATGCCACCATTCCTGATAAAAATAACAATAACACATTATCACTGTCGTGGCTTTCACTTGCCAACCACTTGAGTTTTAGCACCTAAGTCCCATAACAGGCCCATAAGGGGGAAATTATCATCGCCCCCACTTACAGATGAGAAACTGAGCTTAGAGAAGTGAAAGGACTGGCCTGACATCATGCAGATGGAAAAGGGGCAGAGACAGGATAAAACCCAGGGCAGCTCCCAATCATTCTGCCATCCTGCCAGCCAGACCTCCCTGGACCTCCAGCCAGAGGGACACTGAGTCACATGCCACATACAGTCTTCCTACAGCTGGAGCAACAGAGGCCCGGAGAGGGTCCCAGCTTGGTCTTGGCAGCCCCAGCCTGTGCCTTCCCAGCCGGCTGAGCCTCCCTCCCGCCACTGTACCCACAGCCGCAGCATTTACCAGAACACTCAGAGGAAGGACCCAAGTGAAAACAATCCAAGGTAATTGTGCTGGCAAAGCTGAGCGGACCAGTCTCCAGAGAGCCTGTTGAACCTGTTTTTTCCTCAATTTCCCAAGATTAAATGATTATTTAAAAAGTACGCTACACTGCATAGAAATCAACATTACCTCCCATAATTCTGTACATCTGGGACGAGAGAAATGTCATTGTCCCTGCCCACATCTTCTGGAGATGCTATCCAAAGGCCAACATCCCCAGGACACATGTCTTATATCCTATTCTACAGTCTCCTTTTTTCCCCTGGGGGAGGACCAGGCATAGGACGAGGCCAACTCCCAGAGTCCCAGTCCACTAAAAAGGAGACCCTTCCACCTTTAGGCTAAAAAAAAATTAAAAGTAAGTCTGGAATTGAAATGAGAATCTGAATTTAAATGAGAACTCTTCTTAGTTAGGGCCTCTGAAAAAGTTACCCTGTGACCATGACCTTATAAAAGTACCCTGAAATAACAACCCGATAGATGTTCCCTCAGCAACGTGCATGGGTCTTAAAAACATGGTGCTGGGCAGAGAAAGCAAGAATGCAAATGAGATATCTAAGGCAATACGATTTACAACCATGACAAATACATACACACAAAAAACACGACACATTTTGCAAGAACACACACAAGCAAACAGATATCGACTAAATACTCGAGAATGGTGGCTTGAGGACAGGAAGATGGTCATGGGCGTGTGGGAGTGGGGCTAAAGGGAAATGAAGGACAGGCAAGAGAAGGCAGGAGGAGGAGAGAGAGAAGGAGTGGGGTGGAGAAGGAAAGGGAGGAGGAAGGGAGGTAAAGGCCGATGGGCAGGCTTTGCAAAGATGAGTACTGAGAATGTTCCCTGGAGGAATAGAGATGTGTGATTAATTCAACCCCAGGCAGCTGAGGCCCAGAACAGATGGGAAGAGTAACCTGAGTGACTCTACAGGCCCTGAACGGCTCCTTGCAATGCCTCAGGCCAGACTGTTTCCTGGAGGCACAGAAGGGGCAGTATTTAAGCCTATTTGGAGGCTTCTGTTTAGTCTGAGTTTGTCCGGGAGGGAACCAGGGCTGAAACGTGCTCTGCTCAGGGCTCCATGAAGTAAATCGGAGAATGAAAGCTGGGGGCCCAGGGGAAGCAGACCGGTGGAGACCCCCAAGAGGAAGAAGAGGAAGCAGCCATCCTCAGCTTCTGCCAGGAGGAAGTTGGCCCCTGTCCAGGGATTTGGTTCAGGACCACATAGCAGGCCTCAGGCCCAGATGTGGCGGGACTGCCATGCAAAGGAAAAACAAAGCACTCCAGAATGACATGTTGGCCAAGCAGACAAAACCATCTGCAAATGCCGGTGGTTTGAGGACGCTATTTTTAAGGCCCTGGTATAAGTGTCTGGCTGAAAAGAAACAAGGGAGTTTGTTTTCTGATACCATTTTATTTACCCTTTGGAGGAAAACATATGGTAATATGTAATAGAGGTCCATATACGTCTTTGTCCAGGTGCCTGATCCATATTTCCCACTGACTCCAGATATCTTCCACCAGAAGTACCCCAACACCCCAGACTCAGGAATCTCAGCACAGCAGCCCTCCAGACTTCAGTTCTGATAACAGATTCCATCTCCCCAGCCCTCCTCCAGGGACCCACGCTGAGACCTCAGCCCTGTCTCACACACCACGAGGATCCAGCCTCCAGATGATTCTGCCTCCAGGATGTCTCACACCTCGCCCCCACCCTTTCTCCCTCCACTGTTACAGGAATATGTCATTCTTTTTCTATCTGTTCATCAAGCACTTCATCGAGCATCCATGATATGCCAAGGGTTGTGTGGGACAGTGGGACAAGGGAGGTCCAGAGATGAGTAAAGCACCACCCCTGCCTTTAAGGAGCTCGCTGCCTAGAGGGAGACAGAGCCCCAAACAAATAATGTAACATGAGTACTAAAACAGAGATAGTGCAACGGTTTTAAGAGCAGAGGAGAAGAGGCAAGTAATTCTGCCTTAGAGGGTCAGAGAAGCTCTCCATTAAAGCTAACTATTGCAGCAGGGTCTTGAAATACCCGGAGGATTTCGCCAGACAGAATAGGGGACCAATCACATCTTTTCTAGACTATTCCAAGAGCCCCCTCACTGGTCTTCCAACATCCAGGCCCTTACCTGTAAAATCCATCCTCCACACGTATCCAGAGGTAGCCCTAAACCCACAGCACCGCACACATTACTCACCAGCACAGAATCTTCAAGTGCTCTTTACTGACTAATGATTTACAGCCAAGCTCATTAGCACAGCACTCAAGGTCATCCTGGCCCTGCCACACCTTCGTTCCCAGCCTAGGCTCCCCCTGACCCCATGCCTTCCCCTGTGGGCCAGTTGCCTCAAGCCAATCCCTCTTTCTCACACTCCATGCCTTGCCCACGAGGCTTGTCGCACATCTCAACCTGGCAAGACCTCCTCAACCTTCAGAGCCCAGTCTAAATACCTCCTCACTGTGGAAACCTCTGGAACCCACCAAAGAACTCGGCTTATACGTCTCTTGAAGCAGCGATGAACTACTAACCATCCTCTCTATGTGTTGTATCAGAGGGTACCTCTCTTCCTCTGTCCCACCCAACCCAGCCCTCCAAGAACGAAGGCCTCTTTTTATTCACCCTGATGTTCTTTCAACAGCCTCATCTATGCCCTGGCTAGTAACTGCTAACGGAAGTTGGCTGAACTGAACCAAAGGAAAATGAATCAGGGTAGGGAAGAAAATGCTGTTCCTCTAACCAAATTGTACTCCCTGTCTCTGCCTCACCCCAAAACTTCTTTCCCTTTCTCTTGATGACTGGGTTCCATGATGTCCTACCTTTTATCTCCTTCCCCTTTCCTAAATCATTAGCTGAGCCACTAGCAAAGAGGGTTCTGCCTCCCTCTGGAAAACACACACTTCAAACAACTGGGTTCTGAGAGAATTGCTAAAGCCTTCCTTCCAACAGGCTCCAACAGAGCCGTCTGGGTTCTGAAGGCCAGGAAGTGCTTCGTTTTCTGTCCAGACAGGAGTGGCTCTCACTGGAAAATCTTAAAGTGCAGTGCTTTACAGAAAGGCTTCAGAGGCCACGGCGTGCTGGCTCCGCACGTCGGCGTCGCCACAGGTGGGACTCTGCCCCTTCCTGCGCCGGCCAAGCGATCCCCACGGGCCACCGTGGGTGATTCCAGCTCTGAGGAACTGCTACCTCTGAAGTGAGCTGCGCAGAACAAACCCCTGCCTCGTCATTCAGACAGAGGCCCCTGCCTTCCAACCTCATCAAAGCAAACCGTCAGACCGCACGTCTCACACAAGTAACTTCTGAAGAGTGTGTGGCTTTCCTCCTCCAGTTTAAAAGGGGTGCTTGAATCTGCCTTCGGCTCGGGTCATGATCCCAGGGTCCTGGGATCGAGCCCCGCATCGGGCTCCCTGCTCCGCGGGAAGCCTGCTTCTCCCTCTCCC